CTGGCGCGTTCGTCTTGCGCTCGGGGCTGCGGGCTCAGCATCCACCCCCACTCCTCGGTGCTTCCCCCTCACGCCTTCCGGAGCGTCTCACGATAGCTCGGGGCTCTCTCCGTCGTTTGGAGGAAAGAAACACCTGGATTTAAAAATCTGCAGATGCAACTTGTCATTTTTCTTTAAGATCGTCCTAGTACGAGTAATTTTCTGTATTTCATCCTACGACGGCTTTCTCTGTGCCCGGGGAGATAGGCCTGGCTCTAACCAGGCCGCATTACTGCTGACTGCGGGCCTGGAGCAGATGTAGTGGCACCGGGAGGTGGAGAGGGGTGAAACGGACGGCTCCCGGGTGCTCCGAAGAGCCGACTGCCTCTAGCTTGTCTTTACTCTAACAGCCCAAATCCACTCCCTAAGGAAAGGGTGGGAGAGCTAAACAGGCCTGCAGGCCTCCTCCTCCCCGTCTCTCCTGTCTCCTCCTCGTCGTCCATGATCTCTTGACGTCCCTGTCACCAGCGGGCAGCTTGGCTCTGGGAAAAGAATCCAGCTATAACCCAGCCGGTGAGGCTCAGTGGTTGAGCGTCGACCCTGCACCAAGAGGTCGCCGGTTTGACTCCCGGTCAGGGCACATGCCCAGGTCGTGGGCCAGATCCCCAGGGGGGGGCGTGCAGGAGGCGGCCAATCGAGGTTCTGTCTCATTGATGTTTCTCTGTCTCTCTCCCTCTCCCTTTCTCTCTCACTAAAATCAATAAAGAAAACATTTTTTTTTTTTAATTAAAAAACAAAGAATCCAGGTACCAGTTTGCAGGGCCACGCTCGGCTCTGCTGCTCACGGCCTTATTGTTTTGGGAGGATCCTGACAGTCCTCCGTTCTGATTCTGGTGCCCGGGAATGCTACGAAATGACGCACCCAGCACAAGGCTGGGGCGGGGAGGCAGCCGCCGATCGCCGAGGGAGCCAGAGAGCGTGGGTTCGAATCCCAGCTCCACCTCTTCCTGGGTCACCTTGGAAATATTTCCTAACCTGTCTTGCTTCCGTTTCTTCATCTGTAAAGTGAGAATGGTGATCACAGGGTATCTTTTATTATTGTGACATAAAACGTGCTGAGGGCCTCCGCTGTGAATGCTGTTTCAGTGGGAGGATCACCTGAAACATGTGTCGATAGCCCATGATCACCTCCTTCAGCCAGTATTTGTTGAGCATCTACTGTGTGCCAAGTGCTCTTCTGGGTACTTGTCATGATCTAGAGATAAATTAGGTCCTTCAGATTCAGCTCAAGCACCACACTCAAAGGGATGACATCCTGTCACGGGTTCTCATAAAGCAGGGCTTCTTTCCAGCACCGGTCCCTGCTGCAAGTTTCCCCGTGTGCGCTGACCCAGTTACGGTTCCGTCCACGACACCACCAGCCCCGTGAGGACAGGCATGCGTCTGCTTGGCTCGCCGCTGATGTGGGTGCCGGCGTGGTGCCCGCCAAGAGCTCAGCCGAGGGCACGGTGGGATGGAGGGTGAGTCTCCTCCTTCAAGGATCTGGTATTTTGGAAGAGGAGGCAAACACGGCACATCTTGTGCTAAAGTTACATGTTTAAAAGCGCCACAGAAATTCCAGTGGCAAAGAACTCCACCTGGGAACTGAGGAAATCTTCCTGGATTCAGGGTCCTGAAGGGTGCGTAGGAGTTCATCAGGCTAAAAGGGGGAAAGAACTCCCCAGGCCGAGAGGAGAGCATGCCTAGGCAGTGGTTCTCAACCTGTGGGTTGCGACCCTCTTGGGGGTCGAACAAGCAGGGGTTGCGTCGGACAACACATATTTCCAATGGCAACTCTTAACAGTAGCAAAACTACAGTTGTGAAGTAGCAACGAAAATAATTTTATGGTTGCTATGGTTGCTACACAACATGAGGAACTGTACTAAAGGGTCACGGCATCAGGAAGGTTGAGAACCACTGCTAAGGTGTACAGACACAAAAGTGTGTTGGGGGCTGATGGCCTGGCTGAAGCTCGGTCACGTGTGGGAGGGGTCAGGAGACAGACTCCATTCCCACTCCTGCCCTGGGGGCCGCAGCTCAGTGCCTGGCACGTGACAGCTGCCGGCTGAATTATTTTTTCACCAAATGTCCAACGAGAGGGCCAGGGTGCAGCCTCAGGGAAGCACGAAGCCCATCTTCCCAAGGAAAGGGTCCGGGCAGCTTCACCTTCTGTCGTGAGAAAACTGTGAGTCATGAGAGGCGTTAGGGATCAGCCGCTGGTGCGGACGTGGACCCCACACTCCATGGTTAGTGTGCTTGGAGTGTGGGGCAGCCGGGGAGGCCCCCGATGACCTCGGCCTGGCTTAGGGGCCTGGGTGACCCGGGTTACTCTGCTCTCTCTGTAGCAGAGGCCGCGAGCCGGCCATGCCTGGGAGAACCTTCCAGAATGCATGTCACAGGGGCCAGGGAGGAAAATCAAAGAAGTGCAGTCTGGGCAGGAAGGGAATTCACTGGAAACCTGACTTTGGGACGCGGGGAGGCTGAAGCCAGCCGTATTCCTGGGAAGAACCTGTGGCCCTCAGACCAGGGCCTGTGACAGTGGTACTCTGTGAGGTCCCACATCTTTTATCAGATTATTTCCAGCTCATTCTCTGCCCCTCCCCCCCACGGGGTGGGTTATGCTTTCCTGCTCCATTGGCTTTCGCTCGGACGGCAGAAAATGAGCAGACTTTGTAAGAGCAGAGAACGCAAGTACTGTGTCAAGTGCAGGACCAGCTGGCTGGAGTCTGGGCGCCCGTGATTTGCCTTGGGAAGGGCAGGCCCAGAAAAGCTCTCCCCATTCCCTGGGCCCGGGAAGACGGTGAAGCAGCCCAAAGCCCAGGTGCAGCTGGAGCCGGGCCGCAGCCTGAGGCAGAGACTGGCCACAGGAGCAGGCGGGCCTGCAGCTCCCAGCCTGGGGATGACAGGTGCTGCATGGCTGCGTGATTGTACTGTGCCTTGTCCCAGTACTGCATGGCTGCATGATCGTACTGTGCCTGGTGCATACTGCATGGCTGCGTGATTACACTGTGCCTGGTGCATACTGCATGGCTGCGTGATTGCACTGTGCCTTGTCCCATTACTGCATGGCTGCGTGATTGCACTGTGCCTGGTGCATACTGCATGGCTGCGTGATTGCACTGTGCCTGGTGCATACTGCATGGCTGCATGATTGCACTGTGCCTTGTCCCAGTACTGCATGGCTGCGTGATTGCACTGTGCCTGGTGCATACTGCATGGCTGCGTGATTGCACTGTGCCTTGTCCCATTACTGCATGGCTGCATGATCGTATTGTGCCTTGTCCCATTACTGCATGGCTGCATCATTGCCCTGTACCTTGTGCATACTGCATGGCTGAGTGATTGCACTGTGCCTGGTGCATACTGCATGACTGCGTAATTGCACTGTGCCTTGTCCCATTACTGCATGGCTGCGTGATTGCACTATGTCTTGTGCATACTGCATGACTGTGTGATTGCACTGTGCCTGGTGCATACCGCATGACTGCATAATCGCACTGTGCCTTGTCCCATTACTGCATGGCTGCATGATCGCACTGTGCCTTGTGTGTTACAGCTTTATGCAGCACTAATGCAGAAATCGACCGACATGCCAGTCTGACTTGGTTCACTGTTGTTTTCCCAGACAAGTCAGGAAGGAAAGGTGCAGCAGTTCCTCCGAGGATTTGGTTCACGAGGTTTCTTTACAATGTTAATGAGATGCCCCTGGGACTTAGTCTTCTGTAGGTCAATTAGCCTGTGGCAAACATTGTTTTTGTCACAGGTTGTTTGGCTGCCCTTCACGGAGCCTGTGGAAAACCTTCAGGGAGGATTCACTGTAGATGATTCCTCCCCAGGCCACAGTCCCTGAAGATGGGGGTGGGGCTCTGCTGCAGCCTGTCATTCACGGATTCCGGCCCCTGTCCCTCCTGGCCCCGCCATGCCCGCCCTCCCCTCTCCTTGTGCATCCCTCAGTAGATGAGTGACTACAGGGGTAGAGGGTTGTCTGGGGTCCAGTGGGTTCCCCACACCTCCAACACTCCACCTGTGGCTGACCTTAGGGTAAGGACACTGGACAATATGATCTAGCTTTGTTTGGGGTGGGGACAGGAAAATTGTTGATAAGCTATTAGCCCATCTCCCTCCTAGGGGAAATAGGCAAATGCAGTCCCCATTGTGACACGAACACAGTGACAGAAACGGACAGAAAGTGAGAGAGGAGATAAAGTGACCAGGGGCGGCGGCGTGGAGCAGGGAGCGTCCAGAGGGCAGGAGGAGGGCTGTAACCCACGTGCTGTGACACGGGTTTCTCCTGGGGGTTTAGGGCCGTGGAGCATCTCAGCAGGACGTGGACAGGGCTTGGAGGGGCTGAGCCTCAGGGCCGAGGTCAAAGGAGGCTCCGCACTGTTCTGGGAAGCTCAAGGCCTTCGCTCCGGTGCTGATGGGGGAGCAGGGCAGAAACCAACGCCCAGAAAATGTGGGAAACCAAAATTTAAGCAGTGACCAAGAAATGATCCTCTCCGTGGGGTGAGACCCAAGGAGCAAGAATCAGGAGATGGGACAAAACAACTCGGAAGGAGGCCGCCCAGGGAGGGAGGCTCCTTGGCCCGAACACAGAGCGTGCCACGGGCTTGTCACGTGCTGCCCGTTGCCAGCGGCCAGGCGTCCGTGGCTGCGACGTGGCTGTCTTCCTCTCCCACATCACGTGCCAAGTGTGGCGCTATCAGACCCTGAGGAGAAAAGACCTTGAAGCCATCCAGACCGGTGCGTCTCAAACTTAAGTGTGTGTTAGGGTCACTTGGCGATTTGTTTAAGTCCAAGAATTCACATAGCTAACAAGCCGCCGGGGGAGAGGGAGAACACAGGAGAATACACACACCTCCTCCAGCCGACCCGAAGGCTCGGACACAGAGTGAGAGAGACCACCAGGAGCTGAACCCACTTTCCCGCCCGCTCCCGCGTGGGCCCCAGCCCCCACGGCTCCCCCGGTGTGAGCTCCCCCATGGGCCCCAGCCCCCACGGCTCCCCTGGTGTGAGCTCCAACATGGGCTCCAGCCCCCACGGCTCCCCCGGCGTGAGCTCCCCCGTGGGCTCCAGCCCCCACGGCTCCCCCGGTGTGAGCTCCAACATGGGCTCCAGCCCCCACGGCTCCCCCGGCGTGAGCTCCCCCGTGGGCTCCAGCCCCCACGGCTCCCCCGGTGTGAGCTCCAACATGGGCCCCAGCCCCCACGGCTCCCCCGGTGTGAGCTCCCCCATGGGCTCCAGCCCCCACGGCTCCCCCGGCGTGAGCTCCCACGTGGGCCCCAGCCCCCACGGCTCCCCCGGCGTGAGCTCCCACGTGGGCCCCAGCCCCCACGGCTCCCCCGGCGTGAGCTCCCACGTGAGCTCCAGCCCCCATGGCTCCCCCGGTGTGAGCTCCGACATGGGCTCCAGCCCCCACGGCTGCCCCGGCGTGAGCTCCCACGTGGGCCCCAGCCCCCACGGCTGCCCCGGCGTGAGCTCCCACGTGGGCCCCAGCCGCCACGGCTCCCCCGGCGTGAGCTCCCACGAGGGCTCCAGCCCCCACGGCTCCCCCGGCGTGAGCTCCCACGAGGGCTCCAGCCCCCACGGCTCCCCCGGCGTGAGCTCCCCCGTGGGCTCCAGCCCCCACGGCTCCCCCGGTGTGAGCTCCCCCGTGGGCTCCAGCCCCCACGGCTCCCCCGGTGTGAGCTCCCGCGTGGGCCCCAGCCCCCACGGCTCCCCCGGTGTGAGCTCCCGCGTGGGCCCCAGCCCCCACGGCTCCCCCGGTGTGAGCTCCCGCGTGGGCCCCAGCCCCCACGGCTCCCCTGGTGTGAGCTCCCGCGTGGGCTCCAGCCCCCACGGCTCCCCTGGTTTCTTGAGAATCGCTCACGTTCATCTCTCACAGCAGCGGATGCCTCTCAGGAGCTCAGGCCCCTCCTCAATCCCCGTGCCGGGTGGTTAAACGCTTAATTGATGACACCAGCCCACACCGGGGAGGACGAAGAGGGGCGTGAGTGGGGTCAGCACACCTCTCTGGTATCATCCAAGAGGAAAATTGGCCTGGAGCGGGGGGAATCTGCAGCAGCCGTCCTGCCTTGTCTCTGTCCCCCGTCCGTCCAGCCAGCCAGTCAGCTGCCAGTGGAATCTTCCCCTACTGAGTGCCCACCTCCCAACCAGCCCTCCAGGTGCGGCGTTCCGGGGTTCTCCCGGGCCCCTGTCAGAGCAGGGTCACCCTGTGTCATAGGGTCAGGTTAACGCCGAAGAGTAAGCTGAGGGAAAGCCAAACCTGAGGGTCGCAGTGTCTTCTGCACCCAGCACACTGCGAGATTCCTAGTGGCACCTCAGTGACCAGTCAGGAGCCTGGAGTCCATGCCGGTCCCCGAGCAGGAGGCACGTCACGCAGAGAATGCATCACACGTGTTGAACAAGCAGAAAGCAGGGGCCGGCGAGGCAAGCCAGCGGTGAGCTCCAGAAGGAGCCACCACGGATGGAGGACCGAAGTGGGTGACGGTGTCGCCAAACCCAGAAGCTGGCACTGAACATGGAGTTGCAACGTGAGAAGACATGCCTCCCAAGGACGCAGCCAAATTGCTGGGCAGAGCAGACCAGGCTGCCTAGCAGGGATGAGCCTGCAGGCGGTAGCTGGTGGCACGGAAAAGTCACCTTGCAGGGCTGGAATGAGCGGGAGCTGGGACTGATGCAGGCAGCTGGGAGGGGGGCCCGGAAGAAGGAAGGAAGGAAGCCCTGCTCCTGAGCCCCCTGAGCAGAGCGGAAGGCGTCTCCCCGGGTCCCGGCCTGGGTTCTGCAGAAGCCGAGCCCGAGGCGATAGTGGGCAGGCTGTTTATGAGGAGGGGCTCCCGGGAGCAGACCGTGAGGCCTGGGGACATGCTGGGGAAAGGGCGGGGCTGAGCCGGATGGGCCTCCAGGTGGGGCTCACTAATCAGATCCTGCAGAGAGCCAGCTGGGGACAGATGGCATCCCGGTGTGTCCTGCCTCGAGGCTTGGAGATGGGCTCTGTGCACCCCACCCAAGCGGGCAATTGGATGAGGCTTCCAGAGGACAGGGCGACTCCAGCCACGTCCAGGTGAGAGGGCTCCACCCACTCAGGGGCAATCCACAGAGAAGACGGGCGAGCGTGGGCCCCCAGCAGCAACGCCCAGCAGCTGGGGGATGGGCGCCCCAAACTTAAAGGACCTCAGGACCTGTGTGAGGAGCCACGATGTCTACTCCATACTGCCCACTTTTGTGTCCCCTAACATGCTTCACAGTGGCTGACCTTGACTCGTGAGGTCAGACATGGAGAGCCTGCTTGCAAGGAAGGGTGGGAGAGGGGGACTCTGGGAGGGACAAGCGGGTGACAGGTGGCGCGTGCTCAGTAACGTCTGCTGACCCGACGACACTCCGGCACGGGTTCTTGACCACGGGCGGCTCCGCAAAAACGGGATCTGTCAACAGCAGCTGGAGATTTGCCGCCGGTAAGAAAACCATTTTCAGCAGAAAATTATTATTTGCCTAAGAGTGCGTCACAGACGCCGACTTGGGGTCAGACCTACGGCAGCTGACTCACGGCCCTAACGGGGTGCAGGGGACCCAATTCCAGCTCTGGAAGACGGGGTCCGTCTTCTGAAGTGTTGAGCCAGGCATATTTTAAAGTTGTTTTTATCCTCAAAATGTAGAGTATGCATTTTCTTTTTTGTTTGTATGTTAATCCTCACCTGAGGATATATATATATATTTTTGGATTAAATGTTTTCCTCCTGTTTTTATTTTACAGTGTAGAACCAAAAATGTACATGTCTATCTAGAAAACAGCATTTTTATTTATGTATTTTTATATTTATTTATTTATTTTTGTTACAGATGTTTCTCCTTTTTTACCCCATTGACACCCTCCTCCCCATTCCCTCTCACCCCGTCCCTGGCTTTGTTGTCCGTGCCATTGGTTATGTGTACATGCATATAAGTTCTGTGGTTTATCTCTTCCCTCCCCCCATCACCCCCTCTTCTGAGGGTTGTCAGAATGTACCCTACTTCCATGTCTCTGGGTCTACCCTATTCCTCAGACTGTTATGATCATTATATTCCACAAATAAGTGAGATCATGTGATATTTGTCTTTTTCTGCTTGGCTTGTTTCACTTAGGATGATACTTTCCAGGTCTCTCCATGTAGTCTCAAAGGATAAGAGATCTTTCTTTCTTACAGCTGCATAGTACTCCATTGTGTATATGTACCACAACTTTTTGATCCATTCGTCTACTTGGGCTGTTTCCAGATCTTAGCTATTGTAAATAGTGCAGCTATGAACATGGGGGTACAGTATTCTTTCTGATTGGTGTTTCAGGCTTCTTAGGGTATATTCCTAGAAGTGAGATCACAGGGTCAAATGGAAGTTCAATTTTTAATTTTTTGAAGTAACACCATATTGTTTTCCATAGTGGCTGCACCAGTCTGCATTCCCACCAGCAGTGCACTAGAGTCCCCTTTTCTCCACACCCTCGCCAACACTTGTTTGATTTGTTGATGGCGGCCATTCTGATGGGTGTTTTAATTTGCACCTCTCTGATGATTAGTGATGTTGGGCATTTCTTCATATGTCTCTTGGCCATTTGTATGTCCTATTTGGAGAGGTGTCTATTCAGCTCTTCCGCCAATTTTTTAATTGGGTTCTTTGTCTTTCTATTGTTGAGTTGTATGAGCACTCTATATATTTTGGAAATTAACCCCTTATCTGATGTATCATTGGCAATGATGCTCTCCCATACAGTGGGTTGCCTTTCCATTTTGATGGTTGTTGTTTTTTTTTGCTGTGCAGAAGCTTTTTAGTTTGATGTAGTCCCATGTGTTCATTTTCTCCTTTGTTTCTGTTGCCTTAGGTGATGTATCAGTGAAAATTCTGCTGCGTATGATGTCTGAAATTTTGTTGCCTACATTTTCTTCTAGGATTTTTATGGATTCATGAGTCACATTTAAGTCTTTTATCCATTTTGAGTTTATTTTTGTGTATGGTATAAGTTGATGGTCTAGTTTCATTTTTTTGCATGTAGCTGTCCAATTTTCCCAGCACCATTTATTAAAGAGGCTGTCTTTACTCCACTGTATGCTCTTGCCTCCTTTGCCAAATATTAGTTGAGCATAATGTCTTGGGTCCATTTCTGGGTTCTCCGTTCTGTTCCACTGGTCTATATGCCTGTTCTTGTGCCAGTACCAGGCTGTTTTGATTACAGTAGCTTTGTAGTATAACCTGATATCTGGTATTGTGATCCCACCTACTTTGTTCTTCTTTTTCAAGATTGCTGTGGCTATTCGGAGTCTTTTTTGGTTCCATATGAACTTTTGAAGTATTTGTTCCAGTTCTGTGAAATATGTTGTTGGTATTTTGATGGGGATTGCATTGAATCTATAGATTGCTTTGGGTAATATGGACATTTTAATGATGTTAATTCTTCCAATCCATGAATAAGGTATGTGCTTCCACTTTTTTATATCTTCGTCTATTTCTTTTTTCAATGTCCTGTAGTTTTCTGCAAATAGGTCCTTTACTTCTTTGGTTAAGTTTATTCCTAGGTATCTTAAATTTTTTGCCACGATGGTAAATGGGATTGTTTTTTCAGTTTCTCTTTCTGTGAGTTCATCATTGGTGTATAAGAATGCCGTCAATTTCTTGAAGTTAATTTTGTATGAGGATATTTTTTTCCATTACGTTTTCTGTTTGTGTGTTTGTTTTTAAGATAGAATAGAAGGGAGGGAGGGGGAGAGAGAGAAACATTGATGTGAGAGAGACACATGGATGGGTTGCCTCCCACCAGGGCTGGGACTCGGATCTGCCACCCAGGTACATGTCCTTGCCCGGGAATCATATTGATGCTCTGACCGCTGAGCCAAAGCAGCCAGGGCTACAGTATGCATTTCCAAGGGAAGTCCAAGAGTCAGCTGAGGTCCACGCAGGTACTGTGCAGACTTGGAGAAGAAAGCCTGGTGCATGGCTCCCTACTGATGTATAACGTGTCTTTACCATCTCGGACCTTTTCTGTGGGTTCTTTCTAGAATTAACGGTGGGCTCCACCATATGATGGCTCAGGAGGAATCTGCAGTGTGGCTTGCAGAGGTGGTTGTCATGTAATCATGTGTATTTGCTCAGCACCTCACACCTCTTGGCACATGTCCGCTGATGGACTGTCTGGTGTCCAGGAACACTTGGGATCTGTGAGACGAAAAGCGTTAAACTGTCTCAAGCGGAGAGAGAGGGGAATGTGTAGTGGCGCTTTAAATCCCGCCACAGTGAGGGTCCCGTGCTTCTGAAAGTCCTCTTCTGCCCGTCACAGCCTGCAGTTCTGCATGCGCATCCCCACGGGCCGAGAACGAGACACTCGGAAAGGTCGAAGGTCGGGTGGTCACCCAAGGCCACACAGCCAGAGGTGACAAAACCAGGACCTGAGCCTGGATCTCACTGATGCCGGAGCCCATGACGCTGCAGGAGATGATAAAACACTAGTGATCACACCTGGGACTGGAGCTCCGCCTCCTCCCCAGCCCCGCCCCTTCTCCCACTCACCTGTTAGACGTGGCTGAGCTGTCGCCTCTCTGGGAAGATTTCCTTTCGTCTCTGAGTTGGTGATAGGTGTTCCTCCCATGTGCTCCTAAAGCACCTTCTACTTCCCTCGTAACGGTGCCTCGGCGGACACCCCTGTGTCCTCACTGATTCTGGTCTCCCTGGGACCCTCTGAGGGCAGGGGCTGGCTTTGTTTGGTTCATGCGAGTCTCCCACGTGCCTGGCACTGTCCCCATCACATGGGGGGCCCTCCTTTCACGCATGTGGATTGCTGGGTGCCCGAGGGGCCAGTCGTTATCATGCGTGTTACTCCCGAAAAGGACACTGCAGAGACATAGGCACTGGGCCCCTACACAGACTCCTAGTGAGTGCTAAGTCCTCCCAGTCCCGTCTTCTCACTACTGACTCCGA